GCGAGCTCGGAGCGCTCGGGACCGACGGAAGGGGGCGCGGCCTTGACCGCGAGCAAACGGCTTGGGTGACAGCGGCCTCTGAGGTGGGGGTCCTGTCCTACGACGTAGGGGTACCCGGGGCCCAGGGAAAGGCATGTAGCGCCTCTGTTACACTCAAGTCCATCCACCTGCCCCGCAGGAGCTGGAGGAGGACCCCCAGGCCTGGGACCCCAAGCCAGGCCCCAGCACCTTACTGCCCAGAAGGGGAGGCCCTGGATGGATGGGCACTGGTGACAGGACCGCACTCGCAAAGCTGAGCAAAGACCCTTCAGACTCCGGCCTGGCTGCTCTGTCCGTGTCCCAAGCTGCAAGCCCATAGCTGCGCCTGCGGGTCGATGATTCCCCATGTCTTCCCCTGCATCGGTCCCCTCTGCTCTGATCTGTCCTCTGAGCTGCTCACCCGAGTCTCACCATACCATTTGCCACCACAGCGGGGACACAGATCTCTATGGCAACACTCGGACTTTAATACATTTCGCTAGGGATGATGGGGTGAGTAGGGCATTCGGCCACTGGAACGGGCACGAGCCACACCGTGAGTGCCAGATCTAGTTGCCCACCTCCCACAGTCTGGGGGCAGTGGCCTTGGGCTCAGGGCCACATCTGTGTCCTCACCTGGCCCCCATGAGGCCAGCAGGCCTGCCTGGGCTCACAGGGTCAGCTGGGGGAAGATGGGGGTGCCCGGGCCCCAGGGCCTTCCCCAGCCCCTTGCACTGCCTTCACTCCCCGTCAGGGAACAGCGTCGCCCCACGCTTAGCCCCAGAGGAAGTCCTAGGGCTCTGCTGTCGGGGGACCCCAGAGACAGGCGGCGGGGTGACAGGCCCAGAGGCCTGGGCCTTCGAGGAGAGGATCCGGGAGAGGCAGCTGGAGAAGGCAGAGGTGTCTCATCAATGAAGGTGGTGATCTCTTCCCGGAAAAAGCCAGGACCCCGGGGGGGTCCCCCACCTGATCCCAGAACCCCACTTTCCAGGAACTGGCGGAGGCTGGCCAGCCCCCCTGCTTCTGCCTCTTCATCCTCTTCGTCTTCCAGCCGGCGTCTCTGTCCCAGGTAGCCGGCAGGACCTTCAAGGGCCCGGCTGTGGGATGGGAGGACCCGGATGTCGTCAGAGGATGACCACTTGTGCAGGAAGGAGCCGGGTGCCCGGGGCGTAGAAAAGATGTTGGTCTCATCGTGGGATAGACGGCGCGACAAAGGGACCTGGGAAAGGAAGTAGGTGAGACCTGGAGGTGCTGCAGAGACAAGAAGAGGAGGCAGGAACTCGTGGGGGCTGCAGGATGGCTCCACCCTCTTCAGCTTCTGGACCTTTGCTCTGGTGGGCAGCCCTGGTCCTGAGGAGACAGGGGAGCATCTCTTCCTACACCTCTCCCTCACCTGCACCTCAGGGTGCCCTGCAGAGGGCAGCGCACAGTTTGGGGCCCAGGTCAGGGTGGGGTCTCCATACCTGTAAGTAGTGCACTCTCTCAAGGGGCGGGAAGAGCATGTGCTGGCCAGGCAGCAGCTTCACCTGGGCGGGGTCCCTGACCCCTGGCCCCGTGGCCCCATTAGCATCAAAGCGAACTTTGCAGATGCGGCCATCTGTGTAGTCATCACAGCCGCCATCTGAGAAACACAGGGCAGAGTGGTCACAGGGAGAGAACACCAGCCACACTGCCCTTTCTAGGCTCCCACAAAACCCTTCAGTTCCCATGCTCTGGAAGTGCCAAGAGGACTCAGGTGGGCTGGCATCTGTGACCGTGGTGCTACACACACACACACACACACACACACACACACACACACACGGACCTTCTGGTTGAAACAGTTCCTGTTCTCCTCCCAAGAACTCTCTGGAGCTGGGGGCTCTCGGGAAGCTCAGCTTCCCTTTAGTGCCACAGCCTTCTTTGCATTTCAGCTGGGGACTGGTTCCAGGCGCTTGCCCCGAGTGGGACAGCACTGGGCCTGTGGGCTTCCAGAGGGGAGCCCAGGCTGCGGGAAGGAGCCCTCTGCCAAGGGAGCCGGGGTGTGGGCAGCTAAGTCCTGGCCGGCAGTGGGAGCCAGAGCACAAGCTCCATCCACCAGTGGGCACTGCCCTCCTCATGTGGGGTGGTGGACAGGGCAGAGCAGAGCGAGGCCCAGCAGAGGCACAGCCCACTCCCTTCTCTGACCGTCATCGCCGTCCTCCTCAGACATGATAGCCACACACTGCTCCCACACCGTGCGCACGTCGGCTCGGTAGCGTTCACAGGACCAGATGAAGGAGGGCAGCAGCAGTGTCTGCGCCATGGAGCACCACAGCACGGCCAGCACCATCCACGGGGGCGCCGAGTCCGACTTCAGGGAGAAGAAGCTCACCACCTGGCAGAGGACAGGGAACGTCCAGTCAGGCCAGGAGCCAGCCCTAGTTGGGAAGGGATGCCGGCCCTCGGGAGGACAGAAGGGAAGCTGGAGGGGGTGACCCAGAGGAAGGCCAGGGGGCCCTGGAGAGAGAAAGGGGTGCAGGGTCAGAAATGAAGACAGAGACCCAGATTAGGGACACAGGGTGGGTGAGCCCCTGCATTTCCACCCAGGAGACTACAGGTTGGGGCAATTAGGGAAGGGAGCTTGACAGGCTGACAGAGGAGTTGCAAGGCACATGATGGACCTGTAGGCCAGGCAGCAGAGCAGAAGGGTTGTGGTGCTGGACAGTGGGAACCGAAAGGCAGAGGTGGAGCCTGGTGAAGGGAAGTGGAGGGGCTGGGAGGGGCACAGAAGGCGGTGGTGGAGCTGGGGAGATGATGGAGAGATGGAGACGAGGCATGGCTGATGGGGCTGGAGGTCAGATGAGGATGCCAGGAGCCGGCTGCTAGGGAGAGCAGCTGTGGGGAGCCCAGTCTCACCAAGATGGGCACCCCTGTGAGTGAGTCATAGAGAAAGACGATGGCGCTGACCAAGTTGGTGACCTGCAGGGACGTCTTGGCAGACTCGGAGCCATCCAGCGAGGACCGCCGCTTCCCCCGGGTATCCTCCACCACAATGGCTGGCACCTCAAAGGCTGGCCGGGCACCAAAGCCCCCTGGCCCTCCTGCCTTGGCTTTGCCGTTGCCCCCTGCTCTCCGGGCCTGCCGAGCTCTCCGGGGCCGGGCCCACAGCGTCTGGTAGAAAGTGATGGCCACGCAAACCAACCCCATGACAATGCCCCCGAGCAGCAGGAGGCTGAAGCAGACACCAAAGCCAAGGCCAATCTTGGAGACTATGAACTGGCAGCCTCGGGCATAGTAGCGCTCTCCATTGTTGTGCCAGCCGATGGACGGCAGCGTGGAGAGGATGAAGCTGACCATCCAGATGCCCATGACAGCATGTAGTGCCTGCTTCTTGGCGTTGCTGAGGCGGTAGTTGACGGGCCAGCGCACCATCCACATGCGATGGTAGGAGAGTGAGGCCACCGTGAAGCAGGTGGCCAGGGCCAGCGTGTAGTAGGTAGACACAAAGACCTTGCAGATGCTTTCATTCCAGTCATAGTCAGAGGAAGCTTGGCGCCTCAGCTGCACCACGGCGAACGTGGTGAGGGGCACAGCCGCCATGAGAATGTGCGTGCCCGCCAGGAAGCACAGCAGCAGCTCCAGTGGCTTGTGCTTCTGCTGCTTGGCCGAGATGCTGAGGATGATCCAGGCATTGGCCAGCAGTGCCAGGAGCCCGCAGGCCAGCCAGGACAGTGCGTTGGAGCGCAGGGAGGCCTCTTCTGCTCCCAGCCCACCCCGAGCCATCCTATCCTCAGCCCCCCACCCCCTTTGAGCTCTGGGGGTGGGGGCTAGGTCTCACCCAGGAGCCCCACTTACATGCACCCCCATGATGCCCACACTCTCTGCCCTGTGGTCAGTCAGGCTGCCCTGGGCCCACCCTCCTGCTCAGCATTGCATGACCGACCCAGCTGAGGCCAGTGTGCAGGGCACGGGAGGAGGCTGCAGGTCCACACAGGGCGTCCTCAGCCTCCGGGCCTTGTGGGGCTCCTCCTTAGTGTCCCTGGAATAGATGCGGGAAGCCAGCTGGCTGCTCTCCCAACCAGAGCTGGGCGCCCTGGTCCCCAAGCCGGACCTTGCAGGTCTGTCTCCTGTTCTTGACGAGGTGGTGAATCTTCTGAGTGGCCCAAGGGACTGGAGATGGCTCAGCCACCTGGTCCAGCTGCAAAGGGAAGATGAGAGGAGGGAGGGGAGGCCAGAGGCTGAGCCTAGGCTGGTCCCCAGCTGGCTCCTAGGGCCCCCTTCCCTTAAAACTATTGATATTTTTGTTTTTGTTTTTTTGAGACAGGGTCTCACTACGTAGTTGAAACTGACCTGGAACCCACTATGTAGCCCAGGCTGGTCTCGAACTCACAGTGATCCTCCTGCCTCAGCCTCCTGAGTGCTGGGATTACAGGCATGAGCCACCACACCCAGCTCCCTTAAAAGTATTGAAATGACTGCTAGGGCTGTGGGGGTCATTTGGAGTTTTCCCATCTTAATCAGACAGCCACTCAAGCACCCCACACAGATAAGTGCCCATGATTCCAGACTGCTAGGGAAGAAAGATGTTCTTACCTCCCCACTTCCCATCCCCTTGGAGCCCTTCTTGCCCACTCTGGAATTCCTAGATCCTCCCTTGTAATATCCCCCACCTTCCTGTCCCTAAACCTCTGGAGAGACACAGGTCTGGTATCTTTTTGGGGTTCGCAGTCCACAGCCTCCCCTACCTGCCAGTCTCCCTCTACCCAAGCCTGGCTGATCACCCTCCAGCTCCCCAGGGATCTGGGAAAATGGGAGAAAAGAGGCTGCAACCGAAGGGGGGCCAGGGAACCTGAAGGCGGGGAAACCACTGACATCAGAAGCATCCAGAAATGGAAAGAGGGGGAACTAGGGAGAAGGAGGAGAGTTTGGCAGAAGAGAAAGAGGGGGCAAAGTGGTAGTATCTGAAAATAGAAGGAAGCTCAGGAGCCCCAGAAGAGGCCTTGGAGGGAGGAGGGGCAGGCTGGAGGAGGGAGGGGGACCGGGAGGCAGAAAAGAAGAGCCCCCAGTTCCATGAGGCGCTGACTCCCCCTGGGGGACTGAGTCCCCCACAGCCTCAGTTTCCCCTCTAGGACAGTCCTGATCTCAATGACGCTGAGCTGCAGGGAAGCCTGGGGAGGAGGCTAGGAGGAAACGGGGTGAGTCCTTGAACAAGCAGAGCCCGTAAGGACGGGCATAACAACTGGGGGCAGGTGGGGTGAAAATGGGGCACAGCAGTGCCAGGACTACTTCCGGTGGAAGAACCACAGACCCTTGCCATCCTCAGGAGGTCCCAGCAGCCCCCTTTGTCTCCCCCCCAGCACAGCACGCCCTGGTTGCCATGGCAATGGCCATGCAGGAGGTGGAGGGGGGTGGTCAGGAGCCCCCCACTCTGTTCCTCCGGAAGGCACAACCCCTTCTCACCCACTCCCCGCCCGCGGTGGGCTCGGAAGAGATGCAGGAGAGGGAGCGAGGCCGTGGGCTGTGAAGGACAGAGGGGCGGTGGAGGAGAGAGGGGAGGAAGGTCGGGGCCGGGGCGGGCAGCTTCTCCCGGGCCCGTGCTCGCTCGAGGGGGCCGG